CTAAGCAATTTATAAACTACTTGTATAATATTAATTAAGGAACCTCAGAGAAACTCTAAGTCTGGCTTTATTATTTTATTCTCCAGTCAGTAATCAAATGCCAGCAAAGAAACCATCACATTGCATTATATATAATACCAGTTTTCCATCAAGGATCATGTAAGTGGATGTGTGCTTATGCCCACTATCACCTGAGGTAACCCTTTTTCCTTAGTACCTTACATGGTAGATGTCCTCTTGCTCCTTTCTCCTTCTGTCCTAAAGAAATGGTGGAGCAGGATCCATGGCATTTCCCCTGTACAGGTGTAGTTCAGCAGTCTCTAAATTTTAGTTTTACACTTTTAAGTACTTTGGTGTATCCTGTTCAGCCTCATTGGGTGTTCTTAATTTTTTTTTTTTTTTTACAAATCTAATATTTCAGCACTGCTTGGAGCTGCAAAGAAAATGTGATGGTTACAAGAGAAGTGTAGGGAGCTTCACTAGACTCAGCAGCAGCAATATTCAAAATGGTAATAAAATATAAAACATTGTTTGTTTTTCCCAATGTATTGTTTGGAGGGATAATACAGCACTTGTGCTGGAGAGTACATCCACACTTATATGAACTCCTAGTCAAACTACTCATCTATGTAAATTAGCAGGCTCAGCTATATGTCTCTCTAATTAAAGTATACATTTGCTCTATGCATGTAGCAGTTTAATCTTTAATACTGTAAACTCTGATACCACACTGATTATGTTCCCTAAGACAGAAACAACAACAGAGAAAATATTTGTTTTGTATCCTAATGCATTTATTGCTAGGGGAGAGATATATGTTTATTGACACTAACACATGTACATCTACTTCTGTACATGTACACATATGTACTTACTGCTATATGTGTACATCTTGTCCCTGTTGTTGAAAAATTTTACCATCAGAACCTTTGAAGTAATAATTCTCAGCCTTTAGGTTTCGTGCTCAGTTCAACTGGCTGATGGACCAAGCTTCACAGGGAGAGATTTGTTATTCAGAGGCAGAAATGAACTTCCCAGGTCAGGGAAGCCCAGTGCCCAGGATGGTGGGTGCAGCAGGACTCAGGCTGGGGTGGGTTGGTGTGCAGCATTCTCTCCTGTGGGATGTTTCTAAACATCCTATTGCAACACCAGTGGTCTGAAAAGTCAACAGTAAAATCATGTGGTAACCGCACCAGTATTGCTAAAGTTAGACAAAAATTTCCACTTTCCATGAGGTTAAAATACTAAGTCTGCTGTCTGCTTTGCATTAGAGAAGTAGTTCCCACCTCTTGCTGTGGAACTCAAGAACTATGTGAATTTATTTCTGGCAGATAGTGGTAAAGAAATCACACCACTATGAGTGTTTTTAGTTTAATGTGATACCCTACTTTCAAAATTCTGCAGCATCTCATTTCTCTTTGGGATCCATAAAATGGCAGCAATGTGTTATCTTTCCCAACAAGTGAACAGGAAGAATGTGGTACATTTTTCATATAAACACTTCCTTTGAATGTCAGTATTACTAAGTGTCACCTATCACAATTCACATTCTTATTAATGACAGCATTGGAATTTTACTAAAATGGTATCTCTGAAGACAAGGGGTAACAGTTCAGGAATTATGCTGAGTTCTTCAGTACCTTAATAGGTGACCTCATATTCTGGTATCAGTAGATCGGGGGTTTAACTGCCACATGATATTTTAGTCTTATTGGTAAAGCTTTCCTGTTTTAACTGTACTGCAATCACTGTTAACTTTTGTGTCCCAGAATACTCTGAGACACAAGTTAATGGTACCTGGGAGTGTATTAATTATAGTAAATGATGGGAAACTAATGGAAATCTACCCCCATCCTTCTTTTGACCCTTTCAAAGGTAGGAATACTTAGAATGGATTTTCCTATCACACTACATTTTATACAAGTGAGCTATAACCATCATTTATGTTGGCTGATTTTTCAAGCAGTCAAGCAAAATACTGAAGCTCAGTGCAAGAGAAAAGTAAGAACAGATCACTGTATTACTCTGCAACTGGGCCTGAAGAGCACTGTGAAAAACCAGATGGACTCCAGCTGAAAAATAATTGCAAGAAGCAGCAGCAAAGGATTTAAATAAGGTAAGATTACAAGTGCTTTGGAAGGTTCTCCTGTAGATTCCAAGTTGGCATCTCTTTTCAGTCTCAATGTATCTTTACCCCATGCACTGACATGACCCTTTATTCAACCTCAGCTTGGATGACATTTGTGCTACCTTCCAGGAAAGGAATTGTTTTTTGCAGCTCCCTCTCTTATTCATTTTGAGAGAAGGATTAAATACTCCCTCTGACCAAGCATGCAGGCATGCTAAAGTGAAGCCACTTCGTGCTCGTGGCCAAAGAAAGAACAAAAATACCCACAATAAGCAAAAGCAGATGGCTCCAGTGGCAGGAAATGAATGAGCCAGACTGCAGGTAAAATGGTTCTCTGAACACATCGGGCGGGGTTGCAATGACAGGTTCTTTGTTATCTGGGGCCTCCCCGCAGGAGGCCAGATGTCTTCTGTTGTGAAAGGAGATAGAGATGCTCTTCCTTTTCCTCCCCCTTTAACTTATGGCTGTTTAAGTTACTGCTAATGGAAGCAGAAGCCTGTTTTTCCCTCTTGGTCTCTGATGTTTTTGGAAACAGAAGAGATAGTTAGTGAAGGGGTATTCTGATATGAAAGAAAAGGCCCAGAACTGGCCTTTACCTCCCCATGACCCTCATTTTAAAGAACAGGGAGGTCAGTGCTGCTAATTGCACTTGAAAGGATTAACCACTTGATCGCTTTCATTTAGCAGAACAAAATTTTTCTTTAGTCTCAAAGCTGGAAAAATGTACCACTGGCATTGAGGTGCTTTCAGTGTGAGATGGATGACTTGGTTTGGCTTCTTATACCGATGTTGGAATTAAATAGAGCATTTAAATATTTTTATATATATATGGGAGAGAAGGAGGAACTGTATCTGCTGCTCAGACAGGATAGATTTGCAGCAGAAGTGACAATAACCTCCTTCCTGCCCCCATAAAAGGTTATCAGAGGAATACTAACAGACCTTAACAAATTACAGATATTAGGTGTGTATCTGTCCCTTGGTGTAACAAATGACTTTTGCGTTACATTGAGGTCGCACTGGGAGAAAAAGAATCTGAACCCAATTCCTGGACACGGTGTTCCAGATTTTAAAATATTTTCTGTACATTAATTTCACCTGAGAATTAAAAATTAATTTTCTTTCGGAATAGTTTCTTAATTCCCATTGTTCAAATGAAGTGAGGTAGACAAAACTTAAATTTGGAAACAATTTTTAACCTTATAAAACTATTTTCCAAAAGTAACAAAGAACAGCGCTTATACAAGCTTTTATCTGACCTCTGCTTCTTAAATAAAAAACATGTTTTCAGGGAAATGTGTCTTGGAAGTAAGTCCCGTCTCCCCCCAGATTTTTCTCTCTGGTTCTTGTAAAACATTAGGTCAGTGGGTTCATTTTATTTTTGTTTGTTTAAAGTGGGTGAAAGTTTCCTTCTCAAGTTATTATACTTGTGTGATTTAAAAAAAAATATTATAACAATCTTAGTTTAAGAAACATAAGAACAGATGGAAATGTCAAAAGACTATCAAAATTCATACCAAAGGAAATAGCATTAATCATTTTAAAAAGCCAAAATAACCTCTCAATAGCAATAAGAACCAAATGAATAAGTGGTGTTGTTTCAATAGCACTGAGACATGACTGCTGATTTTTCTCATTGCCTGGCACATGAACTCAATATAAAGGTAGATACAAAAATTATCTTTCTCATTCTGACTTCAGGCCTGTGTTTCCCTGGTGCTGTTACAGTTCATGCCCATCTCATGTGCACTCCTGTAACATAACCAGCATTTCTGGTTGCAAATGGAGGAGGTTTGTTTCCATCATCCACAGAAATGCATTTCTCTGTGCACTCACTCCTGCAGATAAGCACACAAATCTGATGTATGACATGGGAAAGTGTATTTGTTTCTTGGTTTAAGCATTATTAAGCATTGTTTCAAGCAATATTAAGTGATTTCAATATGCTGAAGCATTAAAACACAGCACAAATCAGTTTTTGGGCCTGTATAGATTGCTGTGTAAGCATAAACAGATTTTCTTGAAGTATTTTTCAAGACTCTATTTCTATGTTCACCAGGACATGAGAGTGCCCTAGAGAGTATGCTACAGGTGATAACAAAATCTTTTTTTTTTTTGTTTAAGAAATAATCTATTATAATTTTTCAGTCTGTCATTTGACAAGATTTATTTTTTTCTTAACTTCTGAGAATATTCAGAGATATTTATCCATCTTATCTTGTACCTCTATGAAACATTTTTTTCTACAATAAAATATAACTTTTTTCAACATGATTTTTTTTATCATAGTATGACAAAAATATATTCATGTAACTCTGCTGGTAAGGTACTTGCTCAGGTCTGTTGCCTCTGCCAGCATGGGCTGTACAGTAAAACAAGATAAAATATCACATTCCCACTGTGGCAGCAGTGCCACACCTACCAGCAAACTTTCATCAGCACAGAGAAATTCTCACTTGTGCTGTTCACATTTACACAATTACTGCAAAAGAAAAACCAGCAGATTCACAGTCTGTCTAATTTAAGGAAGCCTTGTCAGAAATGTTGTGGTCAGAATCACCATCTTCTCTGTTTCTCGTCACTGCAAATTACTTTGAGTCCTCCAAAAAGATCTATATTTTCAGACAGCTCCTGCAGTGCAATGAGCCCATTCTGCTGCTTCAAATACAAGCATGTGGCACCTACAAAATGTTACTGTTTACAATATGCCATAGTGACATTCATTAAGTTAGTGTTCCCCAGAATAATATTATGTAATAGTAATAAACACTTAAATAAATTTGTTTGAATAAATCTAAAATTACCCAAGAAGTTGAGAATAATCTTAATATAACAGTATGTGAATGGTACTACAGAAATCATACACTGTATATTTAAAGAGACCATTTTTATTAGTAGAATAATTTTCCAGACTTAATTTTGAAAGTACAGAATTTGTATTCAATTAATGTGCTCTTTCATTTTGTATTGGTGCAACTCACTTCAATTAAATACCACCCTATTAATTTCTGTAAGCTTTTGATGTCATGAAAGTGAAATCCTTATTACTGTGTAAAACAAAAAGAAAACACCTGACATGAACTATTAGTAACGATAAAAAGCTAGCAAGTTAATTCATTTTTACAGTTAGAGGGATCACTCCTTATGGCAAGTCCTCCTATCCCCACCTCAGGAACGGTGCTCATCACAGTGAGCACATCACACCTGTAGGATGAAATCCAGCAAGATTCAGCAAAGTGTAACTGTTTTCAAAAAAAGTAACTCTGACTAGAGTGCTCATCTGAGTAGTTCTGCAACCTCAAGTGTGAAGGATGAGGTCTGCAGGTTGCTTCTGGACAAACACTGTAGCCATTGTACAATCTATTTCCAGATTTCAGTCAGACAAAACTAGTTATGTCTGTGCAGTTTATCACTACAAAAAAAAGTTGTGTCATGCACCTATAGACAGACATCTTATTCTTTTCCTGCACAACACTTGGCATTTTTAATCAATGTGTACATAAATGAAAAGAAAAAAAGCAGGTTATCATATTGTCCTTTGTAGTTCTCTTTCAAAATTTCCTGATGATAGTCCACAAGGAAATAATAAATGGCTTCTATTGTGGAGAGGTACGTGTCTGGCTTTCCCTTCTGATGACGCCAAAAACAAGTTTTCCTTGTCTTCAACTCAATTTGTAGCAACCCTGTCATGACAAAAAGATGACACAGATTAGACAATGAGGATTGGTGGCCAGGATGCAAACAAGACTTTAGTTTTGTTTTCTAGCTGTGCTGCTGCCCTGCTGGCTGCCTGCATGCAAATCATTTCTCTTCCTGTACCTCCATTTTTCATCTGTAAACCTGAGGCAATAATTTTATCCTTCTTTGTGGACCACTATGAAATTTGATGAAAAAATGCTGTAAGTACAAGATACAATCCTCATATTTACAATTAATTACAGGCTATCCTTTCATTCCAACAGCCTCACAACCCTCAGTAAACTGCAGGGTCTCTTCAGATGGCAAGAGTGAAACCCACACCTACCAAGACTCATCAAGGTTCTTAAAATTATTACTTCATCTTCTGCAAAGTTAATAACTTTCAAATGTAAAACAGAATCCTTCAGACTATTAGTGTTCCTGACTGAGGACTATTTGCAAAAGCCAGAAACTTTTCATTTATGCTTGTTAAGTAACTGAAATCTCACTGAGATTACTCAGGAGTAAGTAGGACAGAATCTGGTAATTAACTTTATTAGAAACTAAAAGCATTCCCACTTGAGATGAAAGAAGGAACTTGGTGTCTGTATGGCACATGAAAATCTTTTATCTACCACAGTCTCTGTAACTGTTCTATTATACAGATGAATTTTAAGTGTGTATCTTGGTTGTTATGTTCCTTAAGATGCACAAACTATTCAAAACTAAAGCCTCCTTAATGTGTAATAGCTTTGTAAACAGGATGGACAGTTGGATTATAAAGAACAGTGTATACACCTGTCGATAGTATCAGGAGCAGGTTGTAAAGTTACCTTTTTCTAAATGTCAAAATCTGATATTGTGTCACATGAGATGGTTTAGCACAAGTAATAGTACAAATAACAATATGGTCTAAGAATTGCTTGGAATTTATGGACAGAGAAATTTCAGTAGGGTCCAAATTCAGGAGCACAAACTGGGCTATAGCCCAGCACTTGTAGTTCTATACTTCTTACCTTCCAACTATGGTTAATTCTTTCCAGTGTAACTACAAGCTGGATTTAGTTGTTTGCTTTGCAGTTAGCAATGTATGATACCCTGCATAGTAACACAAGTTTCTACTACAGTGTTTTAAAAAAACTTGAACACCAGAAGATTCTGTCCCTCAATTTAAATGTTATTGTTCGCATTTTGGAAACAAAAACTCAAAACAACAGGCTAATTATTACCTCTAATAATTCTATACATGTGAAAGTTAAAACAGTAGTAGGAAACTGCATTGAGCTTGTTTCCCTCACAAGTTTTCAACACCTGAATTCTCAGCCATAACCAAAGTGAAAAGTTCCATCAGATTCAGAGACACTTCCACCTGAACAGCAGCGAAGTAAATCCAGGGGATGATTCCTCCAACATAAACTCCCACATAGGTGTGGCTTGAATACAACCAAAAGTTCATTGAAGGCAAGACCATGGACACTACTGAGCTTACCACAACTGCAGGATCAGCTCATTTCAAACAAAAAATTTTAGTAGTTTTTTATAAAAAATAAAAACGGAGGGAGTTAAGGGTTAGAGTTTACTGAGCCAAAGGCAATGTTTTATTACAAATATGAAAGCTTATAATACTAATGTATAAGCTAATAAAATATTTGGCTAATATAAAGTGGATCAAATTTACAGGAAAAAATATCAAAGTAATTTGTTTCTTTAACAACCATGTTGATGTTGCCAATAAGCTCCACCACTCATGTGAGAAAGTAATTATTAACATTAGATTGAACTGTTTCCTTTCTGATCTAGAGACCACTTTTAATGAAGTAATCAATCCTAGACATTACCAACTTTCAAATATTTCCTGTCTTTAACACAACTGATTTAGTTTTGCTTTCTAAAGATATATTACACCACTTTTACAAGATATAGAAATACTTTTTTTGTCCAAGTTCTCAAGGCTCTTTTTTTAAAAGATTGATGTACTCATTTGCTTTCTCTTGCAGTACAATTTGCTAGATTTACTCTCTATATAAATACAAGGTTACAAAACACAAGTTTTTTCTTTAAATTTTCTTGGCTTCATTAATGTTTCCATCCAGTATTTCTTGTAACTTAATCTCTCTGAATAACTACGGCAATTACTTATTTGGAATTACGATCACTTCTTTTTGAACTTTAATATACCAGGAATATTTTGTTGGATGATGACTTCATTTGCAATTGAACTGAAAAATGACAACAGTTCTCTATTTCCCATGTGTGTACAGCATAAAAATGTCATCAGTTTATGCCTCAGAAAACTGCCTTGTTCATCTTGGAAGTCAGACCTGTAATCTCTAAAAGAAGTGATAATGCAATTTATGTTCTGTATGAGGGGCACTAAGGAAAGCAACGTGTGCAACTCTTACACCTGATGCAGGAGGGGTAAAATTTTCCCTATAAGAAAAAAACTGACTTCCATGACACTATCAAACCTTACAGCAATCCTGAAAGGTGCTCAGGGAAACAGAGGGCTGGAAAACAGCTGGATCCAAGATGATGTTCTAAAAAGGAGGGAAGAGTCCACCAGATCAGCACTGTCATGGGGGAACTGGAAACCATCCTTTGAGAGCTCCAAAGTAACACCAATTATGACTTTTTTACTGAAACACTGCATAAGCTTCCATGGAAATCTTCAGTTCCCCTGGCTGCCTGTTACTTTTCTTGAATTCATCCTCTCAAAATAAGTTCCAAATGCTTTACAGAAACTTGCAACATGCAATTACTCTAATTGTTACAGTAATACTTCAATGTAGTTGATAGAGCATGTTTTGTGTTAAACTAAATACTTGTAACAGGATTTTAATTAGCCAATACATTATACTAACATGTGGGATTCTTTAATAAACTGACTAGACAGCAAGACAACATTCATCTTCCATGGAAGACAGTCTGTGAAATTCCTTGTAGGATCCAGTGTAAAGCAGGCACTAGTAGTTATATATATTGCATATAAACTTGACAGGCTGCCTCCCAGCTAAGTGCACCTTTTCCACTAATGAAAGTGTTTTCAAACTCCTATTCATCTCCAAGGAAATGGAATGCTATTGCTAAATTGTTTTGCCTTTTGTGGATTTAATTAGAATTCTTAAATGTAAACTTCTTGTAATGAACCTAAGACAAAAAACTTCTGCAGAGTTACCAGTTTCTGCTTTCAGAGTTGCGAGGGTACAAAGGGCCAGCAGGAATTCCCTTTTAGTCTGGAAAGCAGTGAGATCATCAAAATGTAACAACTTCACTAGAAAGAGAACCCAAGCCATGACATGCCTGTGCTGTGTCTCCTAAATCCCTCATTCACCTTTCAGTGGCCTGTCTGCCACCACTGTGTACAAAAATGCTCCCCCGGGTCTCCTGAAAAAGCAGAGAACCACCTGCAAAGGAATCATTTTTGACTTTCTTCAGAGATAACTCACACTACTGTTCTGTCTTAACAGGAGAGCTTCCATTCTGTGAGACAAGGTTTGTTCCAATAGAGAAGTGAGAGAAATAAGTGTAAATGCTTTCTTCAGTATTATCATTTTGCAAAACAAATTATATGACATGGAAAGTAATGGAGTCTTTGGCTCAGGAAGTATTTACAGCCCTGAAACAGGCTGTCAAGTCTTTCATGTACCTATAGGGGTAGATATACACTTATACATGCTCAGGTCTGCTATAGATATATGTCCCTTAAACATTTCTGCAGCAATAACATCTCAATATCAACTTGTATTTTTTACCTTGAAGTCGTTCATCAGTTATTATCTTGTTGGTTTGGTTCCAGGTACTGTCAATAAATATTATTTTCTTCAGTCCAGTGCCTTCATTCCTGCTGCTTGGGATGCATTCGTTTGGACTTTCTTCTTCTTTAGGTTCTATTTTTGCTTGCTTAAGAACTGGTTCTTTGGAACAGTCATCATCACTATTACAGACACCTTTTTTAGTGTACTTTTGGAGATGGAAAGCAATATCTTTTACTGAAACCGAATTGGGGCCAGGAAATATAAGTGCTATCTGAATGAAAAGAAGAGAGAGATCTGAGTGTCAACAAAATCTAATAAAACATCAAGAATTCTTCCATTAAAGAACAGAAATTTTATAAACTTCATAAAACATTTAAGTCAGGACAAGATTCAAAAGTATCTTGTAAAAAATATTCTATTTTCTAATGTAATGTTAAATTTATGTTAAAAACATGTTAATTCAAAGTTTAAGTACTGCAGCTGCTGAATATGATGGGCACAACACTGTTGTGCTGTTTAACAAACTGCTCTTTAACTTACTGCAAGTTGAACACGTTCATACATGGGCAAAATATTTCTTATGGTACACAATGAATCCACTTATGTAAGGTGGTGAACAAAGGAAATTCAAGGTGATTAGACAGTGCTACAGTTTTCTTACTTCATGTCTCTTTTCTTCATATTCTGGAATGCAAGGGTATTTATAAATTGTAACATCATCAGGTGCCAGGAGCTTTGCATGCACAGCAGTGCTCTTGCCATCTGTTTCATTTGGGTGCTTGATAATGTCAATCTTCAAAGGTAACTGGAGTTAAAAAAATAAAAAAGGACAATATTTATGATCATATATAGAGGTATAAACATTTGTAAAAATCTTATGCAAAATTCAGGAGAAATCCCTATGGGTGTGTAATTAAAACATATCTGACAATTTTGGATAATATTTTTGTTTTAACAGGCTTGGAACTAAAGTAGAGACAAGTGACAAGAGGCATCTTTTACATTCAGTTTATGGAAATACTTGAGAAGAAGCATGGCACAATCTCTAGAAACAGAATCAATAAGGTAAGTCAGATGGGGTCTTAATTTGAGCAATGTAATGGTTCTAAATATGAATACTTACCTCTATTAGGTATTCATCCAATTGCAAAAATGGCCATTTCAATGAAAATACACCTAAATCTAATAGGTCAAATTTCCAAAGTACTTCTAAAGTATTTTCACAATGCTTTCAATCTTGTACCTTCAAAATGCATCTTAGTTCCCAGCTGATTTTGCAAAACGTCTCAGTCCTCTTTGTGGTTCCTGTGAGTATTTTACCTGAAGGGCACTGCCCTATTTATTTATATTTTGAGAGTGGTTATCTGAATTGTATAACTCTGACATTCAGGAATGCCTTTTAGCTCACATTTTATGTAAAATTCACTCTTGGTTATGGACAAATCATATTTTTTGTTCACAATACAATCTGTTCTAGTCAGAGTTATGAGAAACTGAAGAATGAGGAAGAGCACTGTAAAGAAACTTCCAAGAACTACCTGGTTGAATGAGAAGCTGAGTGACTTCAGCTTGTATTCTCATCTAGTAGATCCATGAGTGTTTATGTGAGGGCTGGACCATTTTCAGTATTTCTACATGCAATTCCTCAAATAAGAACAATAATTTTATCTAACTGTAGTTTATTCATACTTAAGCTGGGTTAAAGATGAATGTCCATAAAGAGTAAGTCAGAAAAGAAATTGTTGCAGGCAGATTATTCTCTGTCCACAGTAACTAACAAGAATATTATAAAAAATCCATTAGATATATTAACCTTCACAGTTGGAATTTCTTTGGTAGGGACAGTTTCAACAGGAACAAAGCATGTATAACAATAGAACATCCTTGAACTACTGCATCGGGGGCATTTTGATCTGCCACTCTTTTTTGCCTTTTCCAGCACTTCCTGGGATGCTAACTGTAATTGTTGAAGAGGGTTATCTTGAAATGATGATGGAGTCTGCAGTTCTTGGCTTTCCAAACACTCAGTACTTCTTTTTGGTCCTTGTGTAGATGAACCCAAAGACATGGTTAGCTGAAACACACAATATGTTGTTATATAAAAATCCAGTTACTATGAATTAATTTATTGAAAATTATTCTGTATTATCCTATTTAACAAAAAAATACTCATCAGAGAAGGTATTTCCTACAGCAGAAGGAGTAATAAAATCATCTGATTCAGTTATTATAGCACCAAGAACTCCAAAGAGATTTCAGGAGGGCATGAGACAAACAGCTGGAAAGAATCTGAGATCTGCCTCTTTAATGCACATATAGGCACGTTCATAATTTTACTAAGTTATCCCACTCAATTTCTGCAGAAATATATTTTTTTTCTGTTGTTAGGGTCAGGGACTAAAAGTTTATGAAAACACTGCTAAACAGTGTTTACCTGGATGAGCAATCCCATTAGTCTTCAGTATGACTACCAACAGTGAATTACATGCCTAGAGGATAGAAATCCATAAGAGAAAAGCTAATTGTACAAATTTAGATCTCTATCCTGAAACTTATTGTGTGTGGGCCAACCAAACACCCTGAATGAAATCCCTCCTGGGCAGAACTTTGTGAGATAGAAGAAATCTTCCAAGAGCAAAGCTTGAGGCTTAAAAATTAGAAGAGCTAGAACAGGGCTTTGGTGCTCCATGTACCAGATAGGAAGTGCTGACCCAGCCTAGATTTGTTCTGCAAGTTTGTATTTATTTAGTACCATTGGTGAGTTTTTTCCAGGCTTTCTTCCACACAGGTGTTGTCTCACCCTCTGCAGCTGGTGCAGAAGTTTCCCCGTGTACTCTGAGCGGTGCATCAGAACCAGGACCATGTGCCCACAGCCAGTGCAGACAGAATTAGTGCTCTGTGAGCTCAGGCTCAGAGTCACTCCAGGCTTTAGTAAAGCCCTTCTGACAGATCACTCAGGGTCCTCTCTGATCTTCAAAGCAGCCCCCAGTCAGCAGCCTGCACAGCCTGCAGTAGTTACAAACTGCCTTTAGCACTTTGTGCTGCATCACTGGAAATGAAAAAAAGTCATTCTCAGTATTTACTTTCAGCTAATTTAGGTTTACTTTTTCATGTCAGGGATCACACTTACGAAATGATGTCACAAACCAGTCATGTTTAACAAAAACAAACAAACAATAATTCCTGAGATGTGATCCAAAATTAAGTGTTTAAATAAAATCAAGTGTAATTTAATTGAAAAATAATAAAACCAAAAAACTCAGCTAGCTTTCCAATAAAAAATTAAAGTTAATGCCAGAAAAAATTGTTATTGTCTGGTAAAATCAGACACTCATGTATGCTCTGATACCGTCCCCTCTCCTTCTGACAAAGTCTAACTTCTGAAAGGTCAGAGACGTCCATTCAAATAAACACAAAATCTAACATGCACACAAAATTTATACTGCAATTTGCTTTCAATGATCTCTGAGATAAAGCAAATATACATTACATCTCGGACCAAGCCACACTATTATCAAGTTTCCTCAAGCAGCAGAGAGGGCGAGAGGCCCTGGAATTGGACATGCATTCCCAGCCTGCAAACCGATTCTTTTCAGTGCACAATGTCTTGTGCTCTGTGGTGCTCAACGGTGACACCTCGAAGCACTTTTGTTACCGGTACTGACAGGGGATCTGCTGCGGCCTCACAATAAGAGCTGTGCCCACGTTCAGCTGTGTTAACACGGTATTCTTTGCAGAAAACGACAGCAACAGAGTTCATGCAACTTGTAAGACCCAAATCTCACTTCAGACATACTTTTAAGACTGTAAATAACTCCATCTACACCTGATCTCCAAACCCCGGATAAATCGCTGCTGCTGGAGGGTTCTCTCCACATTCCAACTGCAACTCCGGGGCAACTCCGGACCTCGGTCCCGACACCTCGGGGGTTGTGTGAAGCTCTGGGGGTGTGTGGGGTGCCATGAGCTCCCCTCTGCCGTGCCCGGCTGCTGCTGCTCCCTGAGGTGAGCGCAGCGGCCACAGCACCGCGGGCTGAGGGCAGCGGAGGGCACGGACCTCGGGGCGGGGATCTCCCAGGGGAATAACTCCCCCGTTCGGGCACGTCCGAGCGGCCCCTGTCCCGCAGGCCCCGCGGCCGCAGAGCCGCTTCCCCCGCGGGCCGCCCGAGCCCGCCTGCGCACAGCGCGGCCCCTCAGCGCTGCCTCCTCCGTCCTGCCCTCCGCCCCGCTCCTCTCCTCATCCTCTGCCCGGCTGCAGCCCTTCCTCACCCGCCTCCCGGCTTTGCTCCGCCGCGGCCCTCGCAGGCCCCGGAACGAAAGTGCCGAGCTCTGCCTCGGCGGGAGGCGGGGAGCGGAAGCAGCCCGGGCTGAGAGCGGCTGCTGTCTCGTCCGGGGGTTTGTGTTTGTTCGGAGCCTCCCGCCCGGAATGGGATTTTTTTTCGACGTGTTGTGTCGCAAAAACCTGACCAGAAACCACACACACAGTTCCCGGGGAGCGGGGGCAAACCCGCCCTTCCCAGCGGGGTCCGTGCCAGGTGTTTCCCGCCGTGTGACATGTGCCCAGCTCTGCCCCCGCCGTGAGGGCACCGCCTGGAAAGCGCTGGGGCGGGAGGCTGCGGGTTTGTGTCACTGCCTTGGCAACTCCTCTAAAGCTGGATCAGTTGGATTTTTCTTTACCTGTATTTTTCCTCCACCTAGTAGTATACTTACAGCATACCGAGTGCCTGGTGCTGGTTCTGCATCTCTCTCTCCAAAGAGGGCATGGGATCTGCTCTGTGAAATTCCTTGGCCTGGTTGAGGATGCTGCCCCACAGTAGCATTTACCCAATATTCAGTCTTTAGTAACTGCATTTTTAGGTTGAAGTGACTAAACTAAACCAGTAATTTTGGTATAGAGAATATTTCTCTCAGTGAAATGAAGTCTGTGATGTATTAGTTGCAGTAGCTTTAGTGGGAAAAGTTGACATTATAGGCAGATTTTATGCCAAACTTTGATCTCAGTTACACCCCAAAAACCTCACTGACTTCAGTGATATTACATTCAGTGGCAGAGAATGCTTACCAGCATTCTGTTATTGTTTTGTTTTGACTTGATCAGTTCTTCATGCTTGCAGCATGTCACACATTGCAGTAGTAGGGAAAATGAGCTACATTTCTCCATCCGTATTTTTTACTACCTTACGCCGTGACAATACCTTGTGATGTTCAGTAGTTAATGATGTCAAAATAAAAATGTTTATTAGACAAAAGAAGACTTTTATAATGGTTTCTAAAACTCTTTCTTGACAAACTTAATTTTAGTAGGTTTTGCTAAGTTTACCATCTCTTTGAATTATTCCTTTGGGTGCTTAGTGCAGAACTTGTTTGGGAATAAACTGAGCTTCCTCATAATTTAAAATCAGGCTCTGAAAGCTGAATTACTCCTTTGTAGACTTTTATCCTATACAGTTATTTACCCAAAAACTGCAATACTGAAATAATATTTTAGGAGTGGATGCTGTATCATTTTTGTTTGGGGCTCTTAATTTCAGAATATACTAAAAAATATTATCTTTTCCAAACCAGAATTCCTCACGCTTGATTTCTACTCAGTTGCAACTCTAAAGTTTGATTTTTAAATTAAACTGAACTCAGAAGATACCAGTTGATTGATTTCAGTGAACACTTTGGCTAATCTGAAACTCTCCCATTGCTTCCCACTTCTAAACTAAAAACTAAATCTGTAAGAACAGTGCCAGATTTGTTGCTTTTTCTTCAGTGTGTATTTAAGAAGTGCATAAATAATAATAGTATAAATGTTATGGAGGTACTGCGAAGGAAATGGAGGTTCTACCTTTCTGATTAAGTGCCCTTACATATTTTTTGCATTTTGCTTTGACCCAGAACTACTTCTCTCACTGGAACAAAGAAACAAAAAATGTGTGAAAATATTTTGGTGGGTGGAACATTCCAGTATAAAGAGCAACTTGACATAAAAATGGAAACATTTAATTAGGGATAATGTAAGAACAAAATATTAATTTTTTTAATTTCTAATTGCTATTATTACCTTTTTCCTTTTTACCCTGAAGTCACAGAATCACAGAATGAACATATGTGTATCAATAGCTTCCTTACATTTTACTGATTTTTTTTTTAAAGAAATAATTTGTCTTGCTGCCCTGCTATTAAGATAGAACATGTTGATGTCTTTCAGCTCTACCAGAGGGCTTAAAAACACATGAATTACTCCGTATTAACACTTACTAAGTTATTTCAGGAAAGTGATCAATTTGATGGTTAACTTCAAACAACTACCTTTGGTTTCAACAATTTGCTCAAATATTTGGGCTGCTTGTTTGAATTCTGTGCTAGATCAAGGAACAGACTTTCCTCCTGTGCTTCCAAAGCTGTGCTCAACAGATGGAAGGCATTACTGGCCTTTCTGAGAACTTAAATTGCACATGATTTTATTTGTCTCTTTAGAAACATAATGACCCTTTTTTCTTGAGTTATCTCCTTGTCTAACTAAAACGTTATAGTCTTTTTAATTACTCTGTGTCTGCTCTAATGGGCCTCCCTGGCCTATTTCAGTTGTTCTGTCTCCTGGAGATGATGTAATCACCTCTGAATGCAGTACATGGGACAGGAGGAAATCACAGTCTCCTTACAGTGGTGCCAAAATTAGAGATTCTTAGATGTTATATGCATTTACACTCCTATTACAATTCTTTATGCAAAATAGAGTTCACAGATTACTTAATCTTTGCATTTGTGTAATTTTCAGAAATAACTGTTTTTCCAATGGACTGACTGCAGAAGGAATGGCTGAGTTGTCTCTCTCTCGATGAACCTTTCTCTTTGGTGGGTAAGCTACAAAAAGATTATTCCTTCAGTGTCATATGTAAATGTGTGTATGAACGTGTTCCACTGAACATCAGTCCACTCTCAGATTTGACCCATGTCACTGAACTAGAGAATTGTGCTGAAAAAGTATTTTTGTTACAGTGGCCCAGCTCATCTAGAGGAACATCCTTGAAAAGAGTACCTGAAAGATTGGCCCAGATAAGTGTTTACAGCTTTCCTTCAGGTTGTAAGAGTCAAGTTTATAATTTAAAAAAGTCTAATAAGCCAAAGTCCCAGTTCTGCCTGGGGTTTAGGAGCATTTTTCTTCAGGCCTAAATAAAGTGCAGGCAAAAGTCTGTGCAAACATGTTGTTCTCCACAGCTCTTGGTGTTATGAAGGAAAGATGAGTCATATAGAAAGATCAAAATGGTGACTTTCAAGCCTTCCAATCATTCCAGTGATGCAACAGGACTGTACAGTGTGATAAGTTTTGTGTACAGACACATTTAGATGTAGATCCAGATATGTGTAAAGTCTTTGCCTGATTAGAGCTTTTAATCAATAAAATTATCAATCCAGCCTCTATTTCTACCTAAACCTTGCTAATTTTTTTAAGACATTGTTACAGAGCAAATTGCTGCAGAGGAAATTCTGACTCAGACGAGTGAGATGGGGAAAGCACAGGAGCGTTACATATTTTTAATTCTTTTTATGGATTAAACAAGAAAGATTAAATTTTCACTTTTTTTTAATTGGATCCAGAAATGGGATTACACCTCTCTCTGTATGTTTGTTGGGGGAGAAAAGAAAAACAACTTGAAAAAGTCCTTTTTATTTCTTTATATCTCCAAAGGTATCTGTAGTCACCTGAAGTATCTGTTTTAGACCAGTGCTCCTTATCTGAAGTACCTTCACAGTTCATAGTAAGAATTAGCTGAAAATATTGTTTATATCATTGTGTGAAATAACATTAATTATGAATTGAGTATTTAAACATTTTTCAGGTTACCAAATATATTGCTGAGAAGTCAAATGTTAGAAATATATAGGTGATTTTTTTTTTGCCTTACATGTAAACAGGTACACAGGATTCTGTCTAATGACTATGGTTTGACTTGGAAGTCGAAGAAATATCTCTGACACCAAACTGAGTCAGTCAATTTTTCTAAGGCTACATGAATTCAGATATATTGGGTAATGGAAATTCTAAACACTGTGTAAATATGATGACTGACTTAGCCACAAAAATTGTAAACAGCAGTTTAGAGTGTTATTGCAACCCTGACTCTCTGGTTTTATCTTTTACTCACTTCAGTGGGAATTAGGTATGGCTTTAAATACTTTAGTTACTTCCCTTGCAGACAAGTGAGAAGTCATAGTCTGCAATCCTGACTTTTTTTTTTTTGCATATAAAGTTGTTATTATTAATAAAAATAATTTTTTGCACATTAACCTATCATTAATTAGTATTACACTGGTTGAATTTCACAATCTATTTTAAGATAGTTTCTACCTGATCAGACTGAAGAGTATTGTAAATATTCTGAGTGAATTTTGACTGCTTCACATTTATAAATGAAGGAAACATAATTCCTGTCATTTATCCAAGTCCAAATACTGTCAAGCTGATAAAAACAAGTTGTGCAGAGTGAAGGAGAGATTTAAAATTCAGATTCTTGAGCAACCTTGATAAACTCTGTGTCTAAAGAGTGACCTGACTTGCCACAAAACATGTGCACAAATGCAAGATTTTTGAGAAAAAGTGGTAAAAATGCACACAGAGAAGCATGTTAGTTGAAGTTGACAATGTACCACTAGTCC